GTATAAAAAACGTGTGTATATATATATATATAAAATACTTACGTGCAAGTAGATACATATGTATTATTTATAACATATGCGTGTGTTGCTTTTCCACGAGCTTGAATTTGAAAGAACAAAAATATATATACTGGGGTAAAAAAAGTGAGCTTGTTTTTTGTCCTTAAATAAAAAAAGAGAAGAAAAGAAAAGAAAATAAAAGGGAAGATAAAAAATTATTCGCTTTAATCTTCCTTCGTATTCATATTTTATTTTTTTATTATTGTATTTTTTTTCTTCTTCTTTTTCTATCATAGTGTTTTCTTGTCCCGTGAAATAGAAAGATTAACTAACCAGTGCGTGATAATCAATATAACGATTAGAAATGTTTTTAATCGATAAATTTAATAATTTTGTATATATCAAATAATTGTTTATCTTTATTAATTTATGTTAATGTATTTTTCAAGGGAAAGTAATTTTTGTGATATAATATAAAAGAGGCGGCTACGCATACTGCAATAACTTTTTATTCATTTTTCAAATATGTTTTATTTTTCGAAAAAGTTGTTTTAGAAATATATTTACTGCATTTTAAATCACACTTTAACATCGTAATTAGCAAAGACCTATTAAAAATTACTGCACGAAATACGAACTCTACTTTTCGTTATTTTATTTTATTTTATTTTATTTTAATTTAATTTAATTTAATTTTAAATTTTTATTTTTAAATAGAGATATATATATATATATAACACCTTTGATAGAAATAATTTTTCTCGAAATTATAATTGAATATTATTTGAAATATGAATTTTTTATATATAAAAAGAAAATTATTAAATTAAAGAAAGAGAGTACACATGGTAAAATTAATTATACAAAGATACAATACAAATATGTTGAATTACACAAATTTCTATTTTAAATATTCAATACAATACCTCCAATGCTTAATAAATTATTTTAAATAATAGTTCATCGTAACTATTCCCACATATAATATTAATTATAAAATATATAAAAATTTTCGGGGTGGAGATAACAATTTTAATTAAATTCCCAATATTAGGTATCTACAAAAAAAAGAAAACGAACAAAATGAAAAAGCGATTCACTGTTTTCAATTTGTTCAACCATCGTTGTTTAAATAAATAAATAAATAAATTTAGGTTAAGAGGGGTGTGGGGAGGGGGAATGGATAATTAATTCGGGGTTGGATAAAATCGTCAAATGTTATTCACTCTTTAAATGCTTTAAGTGTATTTATTTAAACAAATCCCAACATTCGAAACATTGATAGATGTATATGAGTTTTTTTTTTTTTTTTTTCTTTTTTTTTTTTTTTCTTTTTCTTTTTTATATGTATGTTTGTTTTTGGGCGCGCGTGTGTACGTACGTGTCTATGTATTTATGTATGTATGTGCGCGTGTGTGTCATCATCTTCTCTTTTTTTTTTATTTGTGAATCCTGTATACGCGTACAAAGTCGGACATCGTACGTCCATTCTTCGATAATTATTATTTTATTTGTTATTAATTATTATTATTTTTTTTTTGTTCTTTTTTTGGGGGATTTTTTTTCTTTTTTTTTTTTCTTTCTTTCTTTCTTTCTTTTCTTTTTCGATCAAATCGAAAACAACACGGTACGTGTCCGCACACACACACACACACACACACACACAGACACGGAATTTAATTTAAATTAATTTACTATTACAAATATCATCGCCCCTGCCCTCCCCTGTACCCCCCCCTTGTCCACTCCTATTTTACGCGAAGGAAATGAAACGAGAGAAGAAAAAATACAACCCCTCATCTAAAAAACAAAACAAATTAAAATAAAAAGAAAAAAAAAAAAAAAAAAAGAAAAGGAAGAAAAGAATTAATAAAAAAAAACAAGGAGCGATAAATTGATCGATGCGTTTCCGTACATATATCATCAATTGTTTAATTAATTATTTAATTATTCATTTCTTTTTTTTTTTCTTTCTTTCTTTCTCTCTCTCTCTCTCTCTCTCTCTCTCTTTCTATGTTTGTTTATTCTTCTACCCCCGTGCAAACAATTTCATTTAAAACTTACGAATAATTGGTACGCGCTTTACATTTTCAATATTATCTTTTCACATTGTTTAATATAATTATTGTTAATATATCATTTGTTGTGTTCACTTATCATTAGTAATTAATTATTATTTATTTATTTATTTATTTATTTATTTATTAATCTTAGGTTTTTTTCCACTACTACTTCTTCATCCTTCTTCTTCTTCTTCATCCTTCTTCTTGCTTTTTTACTTTTTTTTTATTTCATTTCATTTCATTTTAAATTTTATTTTACGACGGCCGAGTATTCCTCCTCCCCACCCACCACCCTTCCCTTTCCCCCCCCCCACTTCGTCGGGTATAAGCTAAAATTAATTATAATTAATCGATTAGCTTACTCGTCAATTTTTATCGAATGGCTGGCCCCATGCACGGGTTCTTTTTTATTTTCTTTTTTTTTCTTTTTCCTATATCCGACCTGTCGTGAAATATTTGTTTCTATTATTCAATTTTTTTCATTTTCTGAAGAAAAAAATGGTGGTGCTTACGTTTAATACGATCATTCAATTTTTCTTTTTATCTTTATTTATTTATTCATCTTGTTTTTCTTTCCTTCTTTTTCATTCTTCATTATTTTTCTCTCTCTCTCTTATTTTTTTTTTTCTTCTTTTTTTTTAATCTTTTTTTATTTTCGTTTGTTCTTCGACTTTTTTTATAATCTATAATTATCATAGGCTTATATGTCATTTTAAACGGCAGTCGCGCTCGATAAACGAGATTAATTATTATTATTCTCGTTACGATTTGTTTATTTGTTTGTTTGTATGTTTGTTTGTTTGTTTCATTTTATTTTCTTTGGTACTTCATTGGTGCATTGTGCGTGTTCTCACTTGTCTCTAATATTTTTCATCGTATTAATTATTCTTTCGTCTAGTCCACATGTCTAGAAATTTTATTACAGAGATCGATTAATTAATTAATTTATTTATATATATTTTTTTTTTTTTCTTTTAAACAATCGTGCAACATCTTTTTCCATAAAAATCATTTTTTCGTTTGGTTTTTTTCTTTTTATCGAATTTATTCATTCGTTTGTAATATTATTCGTTTAGAAGATGATTGTTCGATCATTATCAAAATTATTTCGAAATAAGCACCCCTACGACTACCCTCCCCCCCACCCACCCACCACCGATTGGGAAAGAAAAAATATAACAAAGAAATTCGATGTGTTTAAATAAAATTATAAGAGAGAAGAAATTAATTTAATTAAATAAAAGTATACTAAAATGGACCACCTCCTCCTCCTCCTCCCCCCCTACTCTCTCCCGGACACATTCTCATTGAATTTTAATTTCCAAGCATATCGTCATTTCGTTATTGTTATTTCCAATAATGTGCATAGAATTTATACAATTTTATTTCACGCAGCTTTTTCGCGTTCTTACATGATTATTATTATTATTATTATTATTAATATTATTATTAGTATTATTATTATTAATGTTGTTATTATTATTATTAATATTATTATTATTATT